TTCTAAATCAAATAATGCATTGTAACAATTAATATTTTGAAATGCAATTTAACATTTCACTTAAAAATTACCTAGCTAATGGAATATAATATGACTAATTAATTGGGAAAAAGCCCTACATATATTCATGCTTCATTCTCCCATGCAAGGGGTATTAAATGAGATGTGCTGGATGTATTTAAATTTCCAAATAAACAGTTATGCTATCATTTATGATTCCTAATAACACTTGTAAACCACTTCACTAAAACCACCTAATTTAATCTCAATATAATACTTATTATAAGTAAAGTGTAACTGTCCTCACTTTATAGCTGATAAAACTGAGGTGGAGAGAGAACAAGCTATTTGTTCAAAGCTACTCTCAGAACTTTCAAGTAGATTAAACTGATTATGCTTTTTGTTTATTCTAGATTTATAACTCAGGGCTGTATAAGAATAAGAAGCTTATTTATTAGGAAGTTATGCATCTTTAAATAGTTAAGCACTCTAGACCATGACACAGGCAAATCTGAAGTTCAGACTCAACTGACAAACCAGCCCTTGATAAATTCAATTTCAGCTTTCCACGATAGTACACAGATATCAAGACAATGCATTTACCTCTCAAAGTTCACTTGGAACTAGAGGCCCAGAGGACAAAAGTTCACTTTTGCTAACTAGAGGACAATTTATCTTCCTGTCTTTGAGAAATACTGCACTGGTTTAAAAAACTAGAAAACTATTTGCTTTTAAGTGTCATTTTCTGATACACTTCCAACTTGTACTGTGTGAACACTTCAAATGGAGTTTTGATGAAACGCGGCATCACACATAATTTGAAACTTGTACAATGTATTTAAGAAATGGAGCTGGAGTCACAGATTTCAATTCTAAAGGAGCCTCTGCCACCAAGTACCAGGAAAGGCTTGGAAACCTCAAGTGACACTCATCTTGTCTGAATCAGAGCTTTGCCGCCTACATCAGCCTCTTGATGTGCACATTATAAACCAAACATGCGTTTGCAGAGTGGGCTCGCCAGTGCAAGGCCAGTGCTAAGTTTGTTTCTCCACACTCCCAGCAGGCAGCATAACACCCAGGATTAACATCTCCCACCCCACCTGTCATTCCCTGTACTGGGGCAGAATGAGAGATTGTTGGTTCCTGGGAGTCAGAACCTTTATTTCTCACACAAACACTGCATGAGGTGGTACCTAGGCTGGACCTATCATGTTAAAGGTGAGGCAGACATCGGTGCGCTGACCTGGGAATCTACCTATTTTGTGTAAAGTTCTCACAGCAAGTCCTTTTCCATTCCTCTGAGGCCAGCAAACACAGGCCTTCACCACCAACCCAGTTACCCCTGGGACTGGCACCTCCAGTTCACTTCTGGAGTTAACATAACCTGTTTTGACTTAATTGAAGTAGGCACACTATTCAAAAACTATTCAAACTGTAGAAGTTGGAAGGGATAAGACAAAGTCCAACTCTCACTTTCAAATCAAGAGACTGTGTGGCTCATGGTCACACAGGCAGTTTGGCAGACCTTGGACTGGGCCACAAACTGAACCCTAAATCCAGGGTTCTTTCTGGTAGGAAGGTACGAATGCTGTCCTACTCTGTAAGACCACATTTCTAAAGCACTGGGTCTCTTCCAACATACCTCCAACCCAGTTTTAAGGTTTTGCTGTTTAAACCAAGTTATGGTCTTGTAAACCCAACAACATACCCTGAAGGTATTTGTTATCAGGCCCCACAGTGCAACCCTCACACCCACGACACTCCTCTATGCCTAGGTGCAGGTGCCCTAGTGGGTGTCCCGCAGCAATCTCCAGGACCACCCCACTCACCACACCCTTCTCATGTTTATCTACTCAGCCTGCGGCTCAGTTATTTCCCAGGCTTCTGCACTCAGACAAGCTGACTTGCAGCCGGCTGGCCAGGACAGCACTCAGTTTATGCCACTGTGAGCTCCTACTAGTGAAGGCTCTCATGCCAACGCATTTCCTGTCAAAGGTCATCTCAGCAAGGAAGCTCTCAATAGCACATCGGAGACTCTGGCTTTCAACCTCTTTTAACTGTGAACCTCAATAATTTACCTTCAACATACCCCCTTCAAATGTACTCTCAAATAACTCACGTTTAACATGATAGTCTCTCTTTGTATGATCAACTGACATTTGTCACTCAATTCCATTTCATTTTCAAAAAGTCCTGGCTGACCAAGTGAGATTAGCAGTCCAATGTCAAGTGCCAAGGTGTGGAACAATGTACTGTATGTGATTATCCATGGAGGAATGGCTAGAGAATGTGGTAATTCCACCAATGTGATACTCTTGCGCTAAAAAGAAATCCTGCAATGTGTGATTTGGATCAATTTTACACTAAGTAAAATAAACCTGTGACAAAAGGACCAATACTATTCTCTTTCATCTCACTTACAGGAAGTATTTAAAATATTTATAAATGCCTAGAACCGGAGTACAGGACCTTGGTGGCTGGAGCTAAGGTGCAGGGGAAATGAAGAGTTGCTAATCAAGGTGTATGAAGTCTTAATTACTCAAGGTGAACATATTCCAGAGACATGTGTAACCCTGTTCCTGTAGTTGAGGGTACTGTATCACACACTTCCAAATGCAGATCTCTTACCTAAAAAAAAAAAAGTCCCTATTGGAACCTTCTAGATCTCTCAGCCTGCTAATGGTTCATGAATTGCAGTTCAAAAGACTGGAATGAGGCTGGAGTAGACAGAGGTTCAGGTGAGCAAGTGAAGGACAGAGCTGGGGACAACACCTCACTGCAGTGCATTCAAGAGTGAGGAAGAGGGAGGCAGCCTTTCTCTAACACCAAGGTGGCCATCGACACCCTAACCTCTTCCTTCTAATGAGGAGGCCCATTTCTAACTGTCAGCATTGGACAGCAGGAATGGCATTTCTGAAAAATCTCACATTCTGCCTAGAACTGAAGCAGAATTTAAAGCAGCATTAAATGAGCAGATTTTTTGCATCTAAGGTAACTTTTTACCTTAAAATGTTCTGTAAATAGTAAACTATGCACCATGAAAGATGCAGATGTGATGGATGGTAGGGCACAAAGGGAGGTGTGAGAAAGAAAAGAATCTAAGGGGATAGAAAAGACAGGTGGTACAATGGTGGTAAAAGAAGCATCTTAAGTTCTTAACTCTTTATTTGCAGCTCTGTGTATGTTTCAGCTTTCATTTATGATACAAAATTTGTAACATGAAATTTTAAGATGCAGTCTCAAAAAACACTAATGAAAGTTTTCACAGGATGCCTGTGTCCTGTGCTTATGTAAGAACAGTGCCACCCACTCTGAGTTCTAATTCTCAACAGGTTTGCCAAGTACCATCTTTTTGGGAAGCATTGTTACCTGGCTGAAAAGTGTTAGGCTCAATTTCTCCCCTTATAAAAGCAAAACACCTGTACTACACATTATCACTCTTCAATTTTCCTTTATCTTTTGAGGAGAGGCAAACCTATTACTACCAACCCTGTCTCCATGAAAGCCTGTGCAAGTGGAGACACAAGAATCTCAATTCAAGGCTGACTCTCAGTTCCTCTACTGTGTTTATTCAGAACGTACCAGTCGGTTTAAACAGGGAGCTCTAGCTGTGGATGGTGATCGTGCCAGTAATCCAGCTCTCTGGAGGTCTGAGGCCAAAACATCCTGAGTTTGAGCCCAGCCCAGGAAACTCCATGAGACCCTGCCTCAGTAAAAAAAAAAATTAGCTTTAAAAAAAAAAAAAAAAGAGGTGGAGATGTGCAAAAGGGCCTGGGCTCACTACCAAGGGACGGGGTGGGGGGATTAGTTCTAAATGGTCTTCCTGCTAATCGGGAAACATTTTTCCAAAGAGGAAGACTAGGGGCTGGGATGAGGGGTTCTGCATGAATGTAGGAAAATCTGCAGGCAGGCGGCGTCTCTTCACAGTCTCTGTACTAAATTGTGCTGAGTCTCCCTGATGTAGTTCTACCCGGAAGACTGACTGTGGTTTGTGGGTTGTTTTTTTTTTTTTTTTGGGTTGTCCTAACTAAACTTGAAAACAAACAAATAAAACTTTTAACTGCTGAGGAACGACCACCTATCATACTATGGGATTTTAAACGATTCCACGAGTACTGATGCCAACTGTATCAGGCACACGGTCCTAAGCAAAGACAGAAACAAAAAATTGCGTCCCTATCCACTTCGGGTAGACTGTTTTCCTGTGGGTACAACACACACAAATGCGTAATGCAGATTAAAACTGAAGAACTACCACCAAGCATGCTCTCTTTTTTCTGTCCAATGTATGATGGGCCATTTGGCTTGGTAGAAATGTCCATTCCTGCCCATCAGACTTATCTAATAATAACACAATTCTTTCAGACATACAAGGCAGAACTGTCTGTGGACCTTTTCAAGAGAAAAACTTTTTGCAAGGATGGGTGTATTCTGCACTGATAAAACAGTGCTCGCCTAGCGTGCTCACAGCACTGACCACAACCTGATCAATTTTAGGCCTGACAAACCGCCTAAGGCAAATGCAGACACACGAAAATCAGAGATAAGGCTTCTTGATAAGTTATTCAACTATATGTGTGGAATACTAATTTGTTTTCTAAAAGTAGGGAGGGAGGGCATAAAAAAATCGGGGCAGAAGAGACTACATCTAAGTCTTCATCCTGCAGCTTTCACGATCACTGGGACCAGCCGAACTCGCGCGCGGGGCCATGATTCCGGAGCCGGCGGGACGGCCCGCACAGGAGGCAAGGACCTCACTGCTTTCTCCCCGCCCCGGGAAAACCGAGTCGTAATTCACTAGCTTCAACTTAGGAAGTTTAAGGGAGGGGAACCTGAGAAGGAGGTAGAGAAGTTCGGGAAGAGACAGCTCGCTGAACAGGCTGCAGCCAGTGCCCGGCGCGCCGACCCCCGAGGGAGAGGCCCGGGCGCGGCCCCGCGGCCCGCAATAGCCGAGGTACCCGGCCGCCCGCCGTCCCCGCAGCTGCTGGGCCCAAGCCCACCTCGTCGCCCCACTTGAGCACGTCCTTCTGCCGGTCCTTGACGGCGTGGTAGATGTGCAGGAACTGCAGGATGCCGTGCCGCCGCACGTGGTCGGCGTGGCGCCGGGTCTCCTCCCAGTTCAGCGGCGAGCCCTGGGACAGCAGCCCCATGGCCCCGGCGGCCCCGCGAGAGCCGCGGGCCGCCCTCGGTCCTCTGGCGCGGGGGACCCGCCGCCAGGGGACGGGCTGGGCCGGGCCGGGGCAGAGGCGGGGGCCCGAGGCTCCCGGCCCGGCGTCCGCGCCCTCGCCCGCTGCTCCCGCGCCGAGGCGGCCGCGGACCCCAAGCGCGGCGAGGCCACTGCCTCGCTCCCCCGCGCCGGTGTCGCGTACTGGCTTCCCCCTACTTGTGACGAGAGGCTGCGCCGCCGCCGCTACCGAGCATGCCCAGTCCCGCACCCGCCACTCCGCGCGGTCCACAGCTCCGCATCTTATAGGCCGCGGACGGGGGCGGGGCGAGCCCGAGGGCGTGGCCGACGGTCCAAGGAGCGGAGGGGCCGCTGCAGGAGTGCGTGGGCGTGGTTGGGCGGGGCTGGGGCGGGGCGAAGTGGGGGCCGCCCATTAGGCAAATACGGTAGGGAAAATAGGCTTTTCAAAACAATGAGTACCAGTTGGGGAAGAAAGGTGATTACTGGAGCTAATTAAGAACCCACGAGATTGCTTTTTAGGCAGAAAGGACCTCATTATGAAGGCAGTGAGAGCAGCACAAAATGTGAAAAGCACTGTCCACTCTGAGTTCACCATTGACTGCCCGTGGAATCTTTTACCCGTACGAAAACAGATAGTCCATCTTCTATTGGTGTTGTAAGGATTAAACAGTATGGACGTGAGCGTATCGGCCAATAAATTAACCTGGTTATTAAGAGGAGCTGATTTGTCCAAAAGGTTTGAACTAAAGCATCGTATCTGCATTGTCTCTACATGAACAGTCTTGTCAGTGGGTTCTCTGGATGGTGCAGGCCCTATTCACATCGCAGCAGAGGGGGCTTCGTTACCATCTCCAGACAGACTACAAAGGACCCATCACCAAAAGTTAATCCGCCATCCAAACAAGATTTATCCGAGATCACCATGTTTACTGGTGTGATGGCCCTAGGTCCCTAGCAAAGGTAAGGAAGGAGAACTCGCCCAACAGTGCAATGACAGGCCAGGGGGAGATGACAGTTGTGTCACACAGGGACTGTGGCCAAGAATTTTGTATTAACCCCCTTCCCTCAAACTGGAGTTAATATTTGATAAATTTCCTGATTGCTGAATCAGTTTGTGATAGTAGTCTTCACTCACGGCCTTCTTGCTGGAGCTCAGGGACTTGGATACTAAAAGTGGCGCTGAGGCTCCCCAATAGGACCAATGGGACTAGTGTTCCTGCGTGGGCAGTCCATGAATATGGCAGGAGTGGGGGAGCTCAGAAGGTGCTGTTTCAATCTCCAGAACACAGCTGGGATTAGAACCCAGACTTACACTTCTTTTGTACACTTATTTCGGAAAAAGTGTGTGGTGCTTAATAAATGACGCTTAACAAATGGTAGCTTCCCTGTGCAAAGCAGGTAGTAATGAAGGGAGAGAAAGTGTTTCTCTTGCAGATAAGGCGTCCTAAAGCGCATTTGGTTAACTGCGTAATCTCATTTTCACAGATCTCCACTGACCAACACAATAGTCACCACAGTACTGCTTGAGCTTTTTCAATGAGAATAACATGACTAAAAATCTGATTACTTAGCTCTATTTATTATTCCAGTCGGTAATGAGAAAACTTTTAAGTAAATATGCAACAAGTTTTAAATGTAAATCGACACTCTTCCACTGTCAATTTTATGAAACCCAAATGCAAAGGAACTTATTTCTAATGCAAATTTAGTAGTCCAGATGTACAGTGTATGCACACGTAGAATTCCAGTTAGTACAAAAAAACCCATGTAAATATCGCATTAGTACTGTATTTCAGTCGTATTAAATATGTAATTTCCCTGCTTTTTTTTAGTGCTTTAACGTGGCTACAGAAAACTCCAAGGTTACATGTGTGACCCCTCAACACTGGTGGACACAGCCTCTTTAGTTACACTTTATGGTGTGTGAAACAGATCTTCCCCCAAGGGCTTGGCACGGCTCCGGGAGTCCGGAGGGTCCACACTGCCGCCCCCGTCCCTCTCCCCAGGTCCGGCTCTCCATCCACTCTGGAGGTCTCAGGGTTTGGGGCCACCCCGATTTAACGGGACCCGGCGGGTAGTCAGACCATCGCACGCTATGCACCCGGACCGGTTCCAGGCTGAGAAGCCCTCCCAGCACATTGCGCTTCTCAGCCGACACTCAGAGCGTCTCGCATTCGCTCGCCCTCCACCTCCACCCGCTTCGCGCTCACAGGGGCGCGGACGCCCCTCTGGCTGCCGGGAAAACCCGGACCGCGGAGCACTAGCCCGGGCCGCGCGTTCGCTCTGCGCATGCGCGGTAGGGCGGTGCACGCCGCGCCGTTGTTGTGGTCCGGCACCTTCCACGTGACTCCGCGCGTTGCAGCCTCACCGTGACTCAGCACTCTGCGGGCGGTGCGGCGCGGCCCCGGGAAGCCTCCGCGTGGGGCGCGCGCCGCGGGTGCTGGCGGGTCGAAGCCTGAGGTTCAGGCCATCGGCGTTCCGCGGCGCTGGGTCCGTGGGCGGCCCTCCGTGGAGCGCTGCGAGTGGCTCTTTGTCTGCCCCGCAGGTCGGGTCGCTCCTTCCTCACCGCCCTCGGGCGGGAAGTGCTGCGGGACGGTGAGCGCAGACCCTCGGTGTGCGGGAACGGTTATCTCTTCAGCTCGCGCACAGCGTGGTGCAGTGCTAAGACGCAGAAAGGGCTCCTCCCCACTGATGAGTTACACTTGGGATCTGATTACACTCGAGAAAGTCCTCAGGACCGTGTGACGAGCGCGGGAGCAAATTAGAAATTTCATTCCCTGTCGGAGAACAACTTGTGGTGTTGCAGCTGGCGTGTTGATCGCCCGCAAGTCCCGCCCTCCGCGCCTGTGCGCTGTGAGCTGCGAGCAGCAGAGGCTCTGCCTGTGCGAGTGTCCGTGCTGCTGACTCAGTTGGAACCGTCCTCATGTGGTTGTGCAGTATTTCTAACACTGCGTTAAGATGTGCTGTTGTTTTAAATTTTTTAAAAATGTAAAGAAGCTCTTTTGACTTCTTAAACCGATTTTTAGCTATCGGGTTTACTGCAAACAAACTTAGTTGTTTTTGTGTGTGTATTTATTACCCATGTATGCATTTATGTATTAGCATTTTGAGACCGGATCTCTATAGTTCAGGCTGGCCTCTAATCTGCAGAGATCTTACTTTCCCAGCTGGCATAGGTATACACCACCACGCGGAGCTCTAAACTTGCTCATTGTCATGTGGTTACAAAAGGTCTGTGTAGTCAAGTAAAAGTGGCTAAGAGTCTACAGGGAGTAAGACTGGAGATGAGATACAGGAACAAGAAAAGATGCATTTAGAAGCAAGATCTCTCTGAAAGCACGATTTGATGGGATCCAGAACTCATAAGTGTTGGTGACTTTTTCCAGAATAGGAGAAAAAGGGGGAAAGTTTGTCAAGAGATGTTATGAAGACAAGATTACAAAATACACTGAATATGTAAATTTTAAAAAACATTACAGCCAAAGACACATTGCCGTGAGTCCCCTCAGAATGTTCCCCCTCGCTTCCAGACCCTTACCTCACCGTTCCTGAAACAGTTTTTTAGTGTCTTTTGTTGCACTGTCCTGGCTGCCTTGATGTGCTAATCCCGCTCAGAACCCTTGCCCTTCATTGTCATTTTGATTTTGAGGGAGACCTAGAAGGCTTGGCCCCAAATCTGGTGAGTGCTGGCACGCCTTGAGTAGTTATAGGCCTCTTTCTTCCTTGTAGACGGTACTCAGCAGCGTGGGTACCGGGTGGGTTCTTAATCACATCTCTCAAAGACAAATCACAGCTTACAGAACTGCTTCAGAAAGTGGCAAGAACGACCGGATGGGTGAGTTGGTAGCGAGGGGAAGTGCTTTGAGGGCAGATTGTGGCTCTGTGTCTCTTAATTGTGACACATCTTTTGATGCAGATGTTCGTAGTATGTGCCAGTCACGCCTCCCGTTTGTGCCACATGATCTGACTGGACAGGAAGGGCAAGGACTGAGTGCGGCAGGCTTACTCTGCTCCCTGCGGGTGGTTAAAGAACACAGAACTGTTCGTCATGGACATTTGCAATAATGTCACAAATCACACTACTGGAATAATTCTTTAGCTTGCCTTTAGTGGCACTACGTGGCCAGTTTTGTTTCAGTTACTTCCTCCAGACATTAAACCAAATCTCACTGAAGTAGAATCTGAGGGTTCGAAAAAAGGAATTTAAAGATGCTTTCAGCAAAAGATATGTGGACAGGAAGATGGAAAGGAGTGAGCCTCAGCTTTATCTGTTAACAAATCACTTTCATTTTGAAAATGGGAAAACTGCATGTACTCCTTATTGAGTTGTTTTTAATTCCAGATTGCTATGGGACTTTGTATTTGAAAATAAAATTAAACAATGCTTGTCACATGTCATATAAACTTTCACATGGCTGCCATACACAATTATATTGTTAAACTAGGCTGAGTGGTGAAAGGTGAGTGAACTCAAAAGGCATGTTTTTGCCCTTTAAAGGATTCCTAATCTTCGTGTCCATCCACTTCCTCCCATTTCACTCATTACAATGAATGTAAACTTCGTTCTAGATTAGATAAGAATAACTGAATTTTGGCACACAGTAGTCTATGGTGTAGGGATGCTGAGATGGAAAACAGTATTAATCATAATCCCATTACTGTAGAAAGGTGTTATGGTTCGATAACTAGTGGTCAACTTAACGCCAGCTGGATTACATCAGCATGTATTGAGAGAAGATGCTCCACCTGAGGAGGGTTGCCAGGATAAATAGGTGGAGAAGAAGAGAGGTGTAGAGAGGGATTGAGGCGTTATGGAGGCATTGTTGGTTCTCCTACGAGTTGCTGTCTGAGCTGTTGGTTCTCCTGGAGAAGCTTTGGTCTTCACATCGAGCATTGCTTCCTGGCTCCGGAGGGGAAGACATGTACTGCCTGGTCTCCAGGGTGAACTCCTCACGCTGCTTCCTGGCATGTTCCCGACTGTGCTTGTCGGAGGAGGAGCTCGGGGCCTCCGTGTCGCTGAGGACAGCTGTGGTTCCTTTCAGGACAGCCCCGCTCTTTGTTGTGAGTGTGACTTCTCGGCTCCAGTGTAGAACCCTCATCCCACTAGCACAGCTCCTTTATCCTGCTAGCACAGACTTTCTGGCTTCCCCCACTGACCCTTGGGTCTTCCCGGCATGAATCCGTAAAAGAGACTGGCGTGAGCCCTTGTGGGCCCTGGACTTCCAGTTGGACTCGTGGAGGCACTGTCCTGAGCT